TTAAATTGCATTGTACACCGTTTGGAAAACTTGAATTGTATTATTTATTCAATGAATGACAGATAACTACGGTGCGAAATTATTAACACGAGTCATTTTAAACAATAATGACATCGACAGAATGGTATAGTTATTCTTTTATAGCAAGTGCATTATCTAGCTTTAGACTGATATTAAAAAACTATATTTTGTTAACAGAAATTGAGGCAAAAATTACTCCAACTCTGTGTTACATTTAATAGTATGTAGATCTAGAGGAATTTTCGCAGATAATTTTGTTGGAAATTGTGAAGTAATATTTATGTATAACAGATTTTATTATTATATAAGGTATAAAACTTTTGTCAAATAAACTTGTAGCCAATGCATACAAAAATACATACTTGTACACATATTATGTAATGTATATGAGAATGGTAAGATTATTTATACAAAGATTATGCAAAAAAAAATTTTAGCAAGATTAAATTCTTTTGTGCGGCGGTGATTTAAAAAGTTAGAAAACAATGAATTTGTTAGAGATTAGCCGCCACCATACTGTACTAGCTTTAAATAATCATAATTTTTAAAAATGTTCAAATGAATACGAAATGTTGTAAAACATATTCAAATTCTTTGAATTTATTGTTTAGTATACAGAAAAATCAGTGATTCATTTGACACATTTAACGCAAAATGAAAATATTACAGCGAGCAGATGTAATTTTCTATTTCATACAATTGCAATTGCAGTTCATATAGGATCACAGTTTTCTAATATTTACTTTGGATTATGAGCTAGAAGCGATTTTTATTATCATTTTAATGCACACTGAAAATCTTTTTGTTGCGTTATCGCATATGTGCGCAAGCCGCACACACATTTTGTTCAACATTATTGATATTTTAATTTTTTTTTCTTCTCTTAAAATTAAATTTAAATTTTTTTTTTTTATTTTCTCAAGGTTGAATAGGCTAAATAAAAAAAAACCAAAATACAATATAGTGGCCTGTCGCCTTTTCTAATAGAGACGAAAATTGATTTTTACCTTAGCTCAAGGCGATTTTTTTTCATGTTGATTTATAAATATATGCCTATATTACATGTGTGTGTGCTAGATTTAAAAAAAAATTAATGAAAAGTGCAATAATAAGAGGAAAAATTCTCTTATGCACAATTTATCCTTTTTTTAAAGAAGTTGGCTTTTTGCGAAATAAAGTTGCGGAAAAGTTTATTTTGTTAAAAAATTAAATTTATTAATAAAATCTTAATATAAATTTACTTTAATCTCAGTTAAATTTAAGTTGATAATAAAATATTGAACTGTTTGAACTCGACTCAAAAAAATATTATTTTATTTTTCTTTCCTTAAATTTATTGGACTTAAATCGTGTCATACTATGTTTGGTAATAAAAATTATTTTGTACGTAAGTAACTGAGTATATATGAAAAATTAGAGAGTAGAAGTAAAAAATTAGAGTATATATGAAACGCACCCCCATTTAATAATAGAAAATATAAATTTTAAAGGGACAACATTTTAATATTTAAATGCAAATTCGTTTACATTATTATTGCGTCATGCATTGTGCCAAGGGAATTTTAAAATCAAAATATTTTAAACAACACGATTATTTTAGCATAAATTTTTAGAATTGCTTTAAATTGAATCCAATAAATAGTTCATTATTAATTCTCCAGATATGGTGCGAAAAATAAATTGGATTATTTTGTTAAAATATTTACATATGTATGTATGTAGAATGAAAATAAATTCATAAAAAAAAATTACAAAGTTTTGTTAAGAAAAATTAATTGTCTTTTTTTTTTTATCTAACTCAAATATTATGTAGGGCAAAATTTAAAACGAAAAAATCGGAACCTCCTATCAAAAAATTTGGATTATATTTGGAAGAAAATTTGAAGAAACTGAAATCTTAAGCAAAAATTAAATATGTGATAAGAATATTAAAAGCAAAAATATTTCAGTCGCACTTTTTCTTCGCGTACATGTTTGGCAACAGTATACTAGACAATCTATTTGGATCAAGCGTTAAGAATTATGTCATACAGCGTAAAGATAAAACATAATTTTGTTGCAGTATGATTCTATCAGTTACTAAGCGACGAAATCATCATTAATTGCAAAAGTAATAGCAAACGGAGTATGGAATGAATAAATAAAAATTTCAAAACTAAAGAGATTCTTATGACAAAAATACGGGAATAATTTAATAATTAATTTTACAATGTCTTATATAATGAAGTGAAGTTTATTTAATATAGTGAAGAGCTGAAATTTATTTAATTATCACATGAGGTAGAGATTCGCCGCGGTCAATCTTTAAAGGAATATTTTGAAAATATTGATATTTTGAACAGTATTAGAATATTTTTATCGGTGTACAATAAAAATATTATAGCAAGTTGGTAGTGTGTTCTACAATTTTAATAAAAAGTTTTAATAATTTAATTTAACATTAAATCTTTTTAAAGTTTTTTAAGTAAGATATGTAATAAAATTTATTATTTTATTTTTTAAAAACTTTACATTGAAATTTATAATAAATTGTTAACTAGCAGGCGAGACCTTCAACAAAATTAATTTGTGCTTTCTTTTTTTGAATCGTAGTATGTGATTCAAATTGAAATGAGGAAGAAAAAATTTCATTATGTTTGTTTATTAATATAAATAAATAAGATTTATAATTTTGATTTCAAAATGAAATGCCGGTATTATGAAAATAAATTATTAGTGGTCATAGTAAGTATATATGTATATATCATAAAATTCGGATTAAGCATTTTTATAAGGAAACAAATTGAATTTTTTTCCCAGTCCAGCGCAGAACCGATTATACATATTATAATATTTTAAGAACTAAAACTTATGGTTTTCTACCAGAATTGAGTTGAATATATTGTTGTGTTTTGAGGTACAGTATAAACTAGAATAGATAATGTACGTTTGTAAATAATAATTCTGATGAATGTTTTACTGTCTTTTGCTCCATTTGGCACGAACTTAGCAATTTAGTTAGTTTACTGCAAAATTGGGAAAATTAATACTAATCCGTGCTTTTGCTCTGTAAAGAAAAAACAGGTCTGCAAATAAGTGGATCAATGGAAAACGTTGTGTAGATGATTTTATTTTGTAAATTTACTTGATTACTTTCGATTAAAAAATTTACTCTGATTTTTGAACCGCTAATCCTCTAATTTTGCCTTTGAACCGAGATTTATTCTAGCGCTATTATGCGAAATAAATTTGGAATTCCATTACTTATTCTAATAATTTTACAAAAAAAAATATTTGCAGTGTGGTGCATATAATTTTGAAATTTTGTATTGCCCCGCTTTATCTTAGATTTTTCACTTTCTGCGTGAACTTGCGTCTCTTAGAATTAAATCGAGAAAATATTACACTTAGGCAACAATAATCTCATAATTTTTGGAATATATTTTAAAAACTGTTTGAGTTTATATTTGAAATTTTAACATACTCTTTCATCTCTTGTATGTTCATGTTACGATCACAAGGTAGCTAATTTTTAAAAAAATTTTTAATTTTTCGCAGACAAGATATTCAGACGAATGAAATAAAAAATTCAATAGAAATTTTTTAAGCGTGATATTTGCTACTAATAGTTTCCTATATATTTCATTCATTGAAATATTTTGTACTCATCTTCTATATTGTGTGTATTGTGTACAACAAGTTGTTGAATTTCATTATCTTGTTAATTTTTGCTGCCAGTTTTTTTTTTATTTTTTAATTATAATAATTATTTATTTTACTTTATTACATAAGTTTATAATTCGCATTTTTAATTAATTACTTTCTGGTGATCACATCAATTAATGAGTCGAATCAAATTGGTAGATGAAATGCAATAGGCTGGCTGCATATCTGCTAAGCAAATTTATTTTTTATTCAGTTTTTTTTCGTTTTTTTCTGTTTTCTTGTTATTTTGTTGCAATTTTATTGAATTTTATGATGCAATACGTCAATTTCATTATCATAAAAATATAATTTTTTTTTTTAATTTGAAATTTTTAAATTGATTTTTTTTTATGTGTGTGGTAGGTAAGTATGAAAAAAAACAAAAACTAAAAAAATTTTTTTATAAGTAATTTTTTATTTCCGTCGCTTCGTTATTTTTAATTATAGTGTAAAAGCGTTTGAAATGTGATGCTGGAGCAGGACAAAAACAAAAAAAAGTGAGAAAATGTAATATGGAATGTTAGTTATTATTATGGTGTTATGTAAGAGAGTTAATTATATATAGGTAAGCCGTCTTCGAAATTGTATGATGAATTCATTGTCTATATAGAGAAATAAGCGTTGAATTTCATGTAGTTGTGGCATAAAAATGTGAATCGAAAGATTTTTCAATTATACTGTTTCTAATGTACAGTAAGTTTAAGTTATAGAATAAAAAATTAAACAATATAAAATAATTGGATTTTCTAGTTTACATATGGAGTCAAGGTTATGAAGCGTTTTTACTTATGTTCATTAAAATTAAAATTTATTACATCATACTACTTACTATAAGATCTCATATAACAATTAAATTCTAATTAATTGGGATTTAATATTAGGGTAGGAATTATTAGACGTTCTAGATAACTAAAAATATTTTCTGTTCTTTAGATTTTCATGATAATATACCAGAATTTGGATGTTGACAAAGCGTCAAGAAATTCTGTTAAAGGAAACCACGCAATTTTAAGAAACGGTTTGCAAAGTACTTTAATTTTTAGAATTCTGCTGTAAGAAAAGAAAAACACATTTACGCCATGTTAGTTGAAGGTTTGTTTATTAATATTGCCATCTTTTCATGTTAGTTGAAGGTTTTCCATACTTTAAAATTATTAGAGTTTATTAACTTTTGTATTTAAAATATTTCGCGAACACAATAGTGTTGCAATTTAATTACAACAGATTTCTGTAAATTTAAACGGTCACCCTTATATTCTATTATATTAACAATTTAAAAAAAAAACAAAACTTACCTTATGGGCTCTGATGGAAGCGCCCTCAGAACAAGCTAATGTTACGTCCACCAGACTCTCGTCCTGTAATAATTGACTAAACACCCCTAACAGGTTGGATTGATGATTGCTCCACCTCAAGCAGTAGTGCTCACTGCCCATGTCGGTGACAGCTTACGCTGCTGTAATAACATTGTAAAATAAGAATAGAAATGATTTAATAAATATATTTATATTGAAAAAATAAAGTTTATTTGTTAGGATTATAGCTACATCTTAAAATTTGAGGGAAAAATTGAAAAAATAAATATAGAATGGCTCAATATATTGAGTTGCAAAGAAAATCAGTGTAAGATGAATTTGTGAGTTGTTGTTTTCAATACAAAATGTAATTCAATTGAACTTCAAATTTCATTTGGAAATTTTTTAAAATTAATTAATAGTATTGAAAATGAGAGTCTAGGCGAGAGAACTTTGAGATTAAATTTTATTTAACATTACAACAATTGCTATTGTTGTTATTAATCAAATTCTTTTATACTTTAAATTTTACTTATACACGAAAGTTTGTTGGTATTCTTCAATTTGCAGCGGAGCAATAACATGAATAATTTCAATTAAAAGTTTTGCACTTTTTTTTACAGAAAAGTAATAATAAAATTATTAAGTACGATTATGCGTACCAACATTATCGTATATCTATATGTACGTATGTTCATACAATATTATTTTTATTAAATTATTTATACACTCAATTTAATTTTAGTGCGCATTCCTAAAGGTGTTACGAAAATTTAAACTCATTTATTTATTAATATTTTTTGTAGCGCATATGCTTGTAGTGTTGCGTGTTGTTTTGTACTATTAAAAAATAAATTCGTATACAATAAAACAAATTAAATAATTTTAAAATTAATGCAATTTTTATAAAAACTGAAGAGAATATAATTATTATCTATTTTAAAAACATTAAAGTTTTTCAGAAGTTCATTCAGAAGTTTATTGTTTTGCGCTTTCTTCATATTAGAAGGGGAATGGGACCCCCCGTATTATTTAGTTTTAGGAAGTTTTATGCATGGTTTATTATTTCATCATTACTGTTCTTGATTCTCTTTCGTAAATAACAAAATTTTATATAATAAATTCTTTTAGAATTACACCTCGACTTTGGAGGTTTAGAACTACTATAAAATTTTTGTTAAAGTATAGTTAATAATTAATTTTATTAAAATAAAAAATTCTTTTATAAAAGATCTGTTTTCGATGTGATGTTTAAGTGTTAATTAAGAACTGAAATAAATTCAAAGTTGAAATTTTAATTACGAAATTAACTTACTAATCATCAATAATTACAGAATTAATTAAGGATATTTACTGTAAATTAATATAAGTTTATACTTAATTAATTAACGAACGTAACATATTCTGATAATTTGAAAAGTATGTCTTATATTATAGAAATACATCATATTTAACCAATTTCTTGTCACTCAGTTGGTGAAAAAATATGAGGAGATGAGAGTGCTGAAGATTTGTTACTCTATTTATAATTCCTGTATTTCTGTTTTTAAAATAAGAATGGAAATTGTAAGCTGCAGAATTGGAGATTTGTTCTAAAAGTTGTTTATATTTTCCAATTTATTTATATATACAGTTCATTCGGGATATTTAATACAGGTATTGCAAGAGTAGTTACACAGGTATTACAAGAGTATGGATATTTTCAATTTCAATGGGGGCAACAGTATACTGCGATCACGTATAGGGATCTATTGTGCGCCTCCATCCGAGTGCGGGGCATGCCCCACAACGCACGCTCGAGACCCATCCTCCTGATGAACACAAGCAACTTGTGATGACCAGAAGACCGTAACTCCGCCAGCGTTAGAGCAAAGTCCCCCAGGAGGTGCACCGAGGTCTCTCCATGCTCCCCACAGAATCTGCAACTATCTTCATTTTCCAGACCCAACCGACTGAGGTGTCCCCTAAGCTCTCAGTTACCCGTCAAAATGCCGGTAAGGACCCTCACTTGGTTCTTGCCCACCCCTATAATTTTCTTAAATCGCTTCTGGTCATAATCTCCCAAGAGCTCCTTAGCTTGCCCCGGGAGACTTCTCCAGCGTTCCGACCGCCTTAATTCCCAATGAATAGTATGTGGTCCGATTCCGCAGAAAGGCTAAGGCCTAATTTTAGAATATTTGGCAATAATTAGTAAAACCAAAGGCTTACAAGAACTTCTTACAACAATTTTAGTTTGAAATTCTTTTCAGCTCAAATTGTCCATAAAATATTAGTAGAGCTAAATTCCGCATGCAACTCTCATACGGAAAATCAAGATAAATTTGTTTGCTTTCATTTTTAAAATTAAATGTCAATTTATATTTTGTAATATTTAAATATAATTCGCTGATTGGTAGATATTACATGTTTTACAAGATTACAATTTTTTTAAATACAAAAAGCATGAGCTTTATGTACTACAAATTATAAGATAATTTTAGTATTTCAATTCTTCAACTTCTATTGTGCTGTCACAAGTTTATATGGCGATTTTTCAAAATGATTGTTTTTTTTCTTAAGTACAAGAATAAGTTTACAGTGAAAAATGCTTTTAATGTCATACTGAGAAGTCGTCCTATGACTCACAGTATACTGTAGAATTTTTATGATTCATGTAGCAATTTTTATTAGAAAATCTCATTTAAAATAAATGCTAAGAACTTAAACAAAGACAAATTCGGTTTTTAATTTTTTTATTTCAATTTTCAAATGATAAAGGATAAAAACGAGTGTGTTATTAATAATTGCGTTTGTTTTTGTTTGTAGATAGTTCTTGCGTTTTCTGCTTCTTATTTTTCATTAGAAAAAAAATTTAAGTTCGTTTGGTTCATTTTTTTTTTGTTTTGTTAAACCCTTCGTACTTTTGATCAGATACACAATAATGTTTAACAAGCACTTGAAAATATTTCTGTTAAAAGAATTTCCGTTAAAAAGATTAGTCATAATAATCGTAATATAATTAATTGAATAATGTTCCGAAAAATTTTATTGGAAAATTCTATTAAACTATAAATTATTTACGTACCTATAAAAAAAGTTTACTTGTTTTTACCTTTTCAGTACTTTTCCACTGATTATTGTAACCAAACCACATAAATTTTTTAAATTTAGCAAAAGAAGAAAGGTAGCCTTTGTTTACCGCGACATAGCACCATTTAACAATAAAAATACAAAATGGCTGTTAAAATTTTCCGTTTTTAAGAACAAGTTTTTGTTCTAATTTATTTAATATTGTTTTTCTTCTAGACGGCAACATGTAAAAATCTGAAATTTCGGGAGTTTTTAGACACCAATAAATAATTTATTTCGTCTGAAGGAAAACTTTTTTGAATTTTCGTCACCTTATATTTTCGGAACTGCAAGCATTTCCAAATTTCTATAAAGGCGAAAAGGTAACGTTAAATAGCATGCAAATAACAAGTATATTTATGTTACCAGTCTATCTTAATTGTCCAATTTAACTATTACAATTTTTTTCTTTTGCTCATCCTAAATGTATGCAATAAATTGATATAATTTTTATGTGAACAAGAAATTTATATTAGTATTTAAAGACAAAATTTTTAAAGTATTCTAGTGAAGTTTTTGCCACATAATCTCATCAATATTTACTAGAAATTTCTCGTTGTAGGATAAATATTAAATACCTAATGATTTGAAAGGAAATAACTATTGTAATTATGACAGTGTTGTTATAAACGAAAGCTAAATCAAAGCATGTAAATGTAGTTTCTCTCAATTTCTATAAAAATATTTGTATTTCAGCTCTGCTACGCATTTTATTACGTGTTTTAGGGAATTTATATACATGTATACTTTCTAAGATGCATCATAAGATATCATAGGATATTATTCAATTATAATATTATATTATATAATGTAAGTGCATACTGTGTAAATCTACTAACATTGCAAGCTAAAATTTATACTTTCTTATAAAAGTTGTAATATGTTTGAATAATATCTTATTGTACTATGTGACACTTTTTAGAATATACTCGTATATGGGTGATAATTTCGAATTAATAAGATTTTCAAATTGTAGACTTTCGCCATATGCAAGTAACACACACATTTAAGTATACTATCTTACTAGAAATTGACAATACCAAAAATTAAATTTTCTATGGGTATTTTCCCATTTACACTCTTCTTTCTCATATACATCTACATTACCAGAAAATATAACATATAATATACATAAAACAGTATATAATATATAAAATTATATACTGTTACTATGTATATATAAAATTATATACCGTTACACGATATAATTTCGTTGTCGGCTAATTAAATTTTATAAAGCAAAATATTTATTTTATTAAAATTTTTTTTATCTTTATATTGGTACCTACATATACATTCACCCTCTCCATTTCTTTATAATGACTTTTTATACCCGTACGAACGTATGTTCGAAGGGTATACTAAATTTGCCTTACCGTTTGTAACGCTAAGAAATAACGGTGTTAGATATAGACTCAAGTGTATGTTTTTGATCAGCGTCAAATTCTGAGTTGATTTAGCCCTGTCCGTCCGTCCGTCCGTCCGTCCGTCCGTCCGTCCGTCCCAACGATAACTCAAAAACTAATAGAGCTAAGTTCACCAAATTTTCACAAATGATTTATTGTAGTAAGTGCCAGAACCCTATTTAAATTGGACATGATCGGGGTACCGGTTCGGGTAGCTGCCATAAAACTTCAAAATTTATTTGGCTATATCTCAGAAACTATAAAAGTTGTGGTATTGAAATTTCACACAAACGAATATATTAGTAGGACCAATGTGTCTCATAAAAGTCGTTGAAATTACTTGGCTCCTTCTGGTACCTGCCATATAACTTCAAAAGTTATTTGACTATATTTCAGAAACTATTAAAACTATGGTATTGAAATTTCACACAAACGAATATATTAGTAGGGCCAACGTGTTTCATAAAAGTTGTTGAAATTACTTGGCTCCTTCTGGTACCTGCCATACAACTTCAAAAGTTATTTGGCTATATCTTAGAAACTATAAAAGCTGTGATATTGAGATTTCACACAAGTGAGTATATTAGTAGGGCCGATGTGCTTGATAAAATTCGCTAAAATTTCTTGGCTCTTTCTGGTAGCT